GGCTAGCAGTTCAGGAAATTATCCTTCAAATTTTAATGCAATTACATGACTGGAGGCTTCAGTTACACTTTGAACGCATCATGGACTCACAGTGAGCTGTATTTAAAGTCCTGAAATGTAGAGCTTATACTTTGCCAGTGTGACTGGGGATGTGAGCTATCACTGCCAAACATTCTGTCTGGCTTGCTCCCTTGTTTTTTGCCCGCTGTACATTCTTTCTGATTTCTAATTGTTGCTTTTCTATGGTGCCTTTCTACATTTCTGAAGTTCTTGGAAGTGCAAGGAGTAGAAGAAGATGTTGTACTGTTTTCTTCCAGTATCAGATTTTGAAGCCTGCTAAACAGTATCTTGTCTAACTGGCCCTTGTTATGATGCATCTAGAAGAAGAGAGACCATTGCCTTCTTAACTGCCTGGTATTGCCTGCAGGAGAACTTAGGTGTTTTTTTCTCTCTGGAGAACAGGAGCTTCTGTGGCAGATAAATTGTGTAGAGAAAACATCAGCTGTTGACCTTTCAGATATTAGCCTTGACGCAAATATTCCTGAGGGAGATGCTTATGACTTTCTTGCCAACGTGTTCCCTGCAAGCTTTCTTGTATTAACTGTTAGGAAATGTGAGCTTACAACAAAGCTGTGTATTTGTAGGACATGGTTTTATGCTTTGTGGCTGGGTTTTTGTGGTACATAGAAAATAAGGACATTACAGGTCAACTCAGCTTTAACACTGCTTCTATCGCTGACTTGCAGTGTGGATTTAGGCAGATCGTATCTATTGGAATAATTTGCTGCGGTCATTAACTAGTGTGGCTGCTCTGGATCCCATGCTCAGGGACACCCCCACTGCTTTTCTGTCATCCAACATGGCTCTAGTCACATTCAATACCACACTCCTTCTCACTCCATCTCTGTCTGAAATTGCCAGGGGACAGCAGTAATGACCTGCCTGGTAATGGCAAAAAGTGGATTTGACCAAGCTCAGAGGACAGAGCTCTATCAAGGCCCTTGTTACCATTCACTTAGGTGTAATCTGTAATGGGAGAAGCCATTCCTGCTTCCAGAGAGGCTGCAGGAGTTTCACAAGGGACATCTGTTTGGCTCCCTTTGAGCCCTAATGCTTAGATATTGAGAGTTTCTGTATGAGTGTTCTATGTACCAAGAGGTAACTTGAGCTGCTTAAGCAACATTTGAAGTCAGGCATGTATGAATTTGAAGGGGCATGTATGAATTGGAGTAACTGAAACTGGGGTAAGTTCTGAAACCTGGTGTTCTGAAACCTGAAAGATTTTCTTAGGACAAGTTATAATTTCTATACATGAAGAAAATATGATTGTCATATTAAGAATACAATAGTTGAATAGTAAAATATTACTTTATTCCTGTCATTACCTAGGTAATTAATATGGTAAGTTTACCTAGGCATTTAGGCAGAGACTAGTATTTTCAGTAATAATAATAAAATCCAATTCCTTTATTTCACTGGGCATCTCAAATTTTGGTGCTTGGGTTTTTTGTTTGGTTGGGGGGGGGGGTTTGGTTCGTTGGGGTTTTTTTCTCTGTCATTTATACTGGGTTTTGGTTTTGCTGTGGCACCCTGAAGTACTGAGGACTTCCTTTTGATGCTTGAGAACAGATTTTCAATGTGGAGCTTGTTTATTATTCAGGTCATGCTGTACTGATGGTCAGTCCTTGTAACAGGGCAAGTTGAGCTCTCTTACACTTGGAAATTTGCCCAAGGCAGCGATCATTCCTCAGTTTGTGCTACTGCATTGTTTTGTCTGTACAGGTTTGCCAAACACGTGGTCAAGATAAAATGCCGTATTTTTCCTTGAGACTTTCCTGGTGGTAGTGAAACTTTATTGTTACAACAAAAGCCATGGTCAGAGTCTTTCCTTTCTTTACTGTCCCTTTGGCTTAGTTTCTTTTTCTGCTATGGAGAATTTAACAGCTCGTCTAGTTGTTTTCCCTTGCATGGTCTCTGTTCCAGAGTTTGAGGATTCCAGGTGAGAGAAAATGAGAGACAAATAGAGAACTCGCAACTTGTTTATTAATATAGGAAAATATAGAGATAGTAAAGGATACTTCTGATGTCTGGTTATCTTACCAACCCCAAGGACTCTGTGAAGACGATCAGGAAACCAGCTCTGAGAATCATCATTGCAGTGTGAGGTGGCAGGCTCAACCTTAGCGGGTGTCCACGCAGAGGCAGTCTTGACCTGGGTGGTATGAGGGTCTGCCTCCCCACATCACATGAGGTTCGGGCTTTTATACTGACAAAAATGCACACTCATTCTGACGCAGGGGGCCAGCCTGTGTCAGAAGAAGTGGCCAGCAGTATCTAGAAAGGTCTTCAAGGCCTGAGACTTTTCTGGGGAGTTCTAAAGCGGAACTGTCCAGGTAGGAACCAAAGCAGGACTTTCTGGGGAGCAGACAAAGCAGACAAACGGTACTTCTCTATCTTTGTGTGTTTCGCCATGGACCATTATTTATTGTCCCTGACACAGTCTCCTACAATAACCAGTTAATGTTTAGGTCCCTGGGTTTGTAAGGAAATATATAAGCAAGAAAAACAGTATCACTGTATGGATTATGGGATTTTTTTTCAGTGGTGCTGCCGTGAAAGTCATGTGTCATCTTAATTTATTTTCTTTTCATCCTAATACATGCATTTTCAGAGTGCCTCTACTCTGAGAATCTCTGACATTATGATACACTCAGGCTGACTTTTCTCTCTTTCAGGCCGCTTGTCAAAAAAACTGTGGTAACTCTGATAAGTCAACACGATTCCCTTTACCAAACTGGGAAGTCTGTAGATAATTCCAGCTATGGGGAATTTGCATAGGTGGAGTATGCACTCCATGCTGCACTACGTAGTACTCTGTTGCTTTTTTGGGCTCTAAGTGCTCACTATCTGTTTTAAAGTATTTTAAATTTTGCTGTCTGGTACTGAGTGGATTTAGAAAAGTGTGCTTGTCGCAGGGCAGTAGGTTAAAAGAGCAAAATCATCCTAAAATAATGGTGTAAATCTCCCGCATGCCTGGACAGCTGAAGCAGTCTGTTTTCTTGCTTCTTTCATGCCTCTACTGGAGTGTCTGTGCATTAAGGGCAAGGTAAACTGTTTTCTTTTCTAATTTCCTGACATTTCAGTCTTCTGTCAGGACTTTTCCAGGAGAGAGGAGAGGTCAGTATTCATTTGTTTGGGAAAAGGAGACCTGATTACAGATATTTAAACAAGCCCAAAACATGCAGCTTAACTAGTCACACGAGGAAAGCAAGATGCCGAGATCATCCTCTCCTTTGCTCATATGGTGTCCAGGTGATCCTAAGCATCTGATTATTTTTCTTTTCTTAGCTTGCTTCTATGTTTAGCTTTGTAGTTTCTATTAATAGCACCCAGAATGCTAGTAATAGAATGGATGTTGTGCAAGGCAAGCAGAGGTGTCTGTCCACACTGCCATGGGAGCAGAGGAAAAGTGGTTTGGGCTCAAGTGCAGCTGTTCTGCCAGCACTAGGGAATTGGTTGTGGAATAAGGGAAAGATATGCAGGGTGACTGGCTGTGAGGTGCCATAGGCTCCAGAAAGCCTATGGAGAGAGGATCAATCTTCTGACAAATTGCACTTAACCATCAAGATTCTCTTCAGGAATCCTTTTTTTTTGTGTTTGCAGAAAACTGTACATTTTGTGTTCAGTTCTGCTTGAAAAGACTCCTCTTCAGACAATGAACGCGGGCCCATGAAGTCTCTGAGTGTCAGGCTGGTTTGTGATTTCCAAAATTCTGAAGTTTTCAGCTCTTTTGTGCAGCTTTTATTTGCTGACCTGCCTTTGGAAGGCTAATAATCATACTGGAAGCTATTTAATGACAAACTTCCTGTTGTCAGTGCTTAGAGTGAATGCATTTAAATTTCAGTCTGCTCTTTGGACCTAAATGTTGTTAATGTAGGGTAAACAGAAGTCTCAGTGAAGTATCTGTTCTTGCACATCAACTTGAAGTTTCACCCAAAAAAACCCTTTAGTTAGGTGAGAGACAGCAGGCCAAGAGTTGCCACTTAAAGTTTTTTGGAATAGCCAAGTCTGAGTTTTAGTGTTTTCAAGTACTTGAGTACCATGGCAACAAGAGCTTCAATGCTTGATATAATTGGGTACCTAATTCACATGCTTCCCTAGGAGGAGGCAATAGTCCTCTGAGAGTTTTGAAGTGGTCTGCAAATCTGAAGCAGTCATGGGTGCTTGTCAGAGAATTTCTGTCCCTGGACCTAACCTCAGTTACTAGCCAACAACCAGAGCCTTTTGCAGTGGCACATTCCATCTAGCAGATTCCCAGATCTGTGTGGGGTACATTCTATTGGAGTGCATACTAATTAAAAGTTGCTGTGCCTGTGAAAACATTTGCTGGGCTACAGCAAAATCATGCTTAACTCCAAACAACATCAAATATATTGTTTTTTAAAATTGTGAAGTTCCAGTCTAGCAGCAGAGTTGAAACTGCAACTGGCTGAGAGGACATATATTCATACCCAGACCATGATGAGAATGATGGGCAACCTATCACAATCCCAGAACCAGCTACATAAACGTTATTGATAGTGAGACATGCAGCTTATTGCTTGCTCTTAAGAGGGATCAGACATTGTAAGCAGCAAGATGAGCAAGGACATGCTGACATCCTGGAACTGGGGTTAAGCTCCATCATAATTGAAGTTTGCTAACCCTGGGAGAGTCTTACCACCTTTCATGCTGGGGTTATGAGAGGCATGGCTCCCTGGGTAAGGAATAAACCATTGTTTTTGTGATTGATGATTTTAACATGAGGCTGTTTGAAGACCGTCAGATGCTTTAGTTAAGGAGTTGCTTAAGTGTCCCCCCTCTAGACACAGGAGACATTCCTGTCTCAAAGTTGGCAGCACTTTGACAGTACTGTGCCTGCCATACATAAATTGGTTACGGTGGCACTTATTTCTCCCATTTAATAAAAGACATGATTTATTCCTTTCTTATCTTAACAGCGCTTGAACAGAAAAGAAAGTGCAAAGGAGGTGTTTCCCTCTGTTGGCTCCTCTTCACTGTGCCTCTCTCCCATTCTAATTCCTCCTTATGATCCCCAAGTGAAGATGAGTAGCCTGCTGCGAATATGACTTCTCTGACTAGTGTCATTGCCTCCCACCAGTCTGAGTGGGTGTCCTTCAGTGATGAGCTGCTCCTCCCTGTTAGCCCACGAGGTAAGCTGTCTGATTGTCTTTGAACATTGTGAGACTTTGTTTGAATTAGACCAACTACTGTCAGATATCTGGCATCACAGAGCTTGCCTTCTGAGTGTAAGCAGTGTGTGCAGAGGTTGAATTATCTCCTGCTACCCTTGCATAACGGGAGAAATTGGGCCAAAGTATTAAATACTCTTCTAATGTGAGATTTCCTTAGCATAGATCTGTTACAGGGTATGGATCTGTCCTTTGAGATATGGAGGAAGTCTCACCTTTTATAATCAAGTGCAAATCTATGCCCAGTGTTAGTCTAAAAACTACATTAGGTGAAGGACATTTTCTGCCTATATTTAATGGCAAATTCAGGTATTTCAGTAAAAAACAATGAAGTGATGGTGAGTTCTACCAATTCTGTTTTCATCTCTCTTTTAGGTAGGACTGAGGAGCCTCTGGAGAAATGTTTTTCTTCGTCAGACACCTCCTCAGAAGAGAACCACAATGCGGATGGAGAATTTCAAGACCTCTCCCACACAGAGCAGGAAGATGCAGCTGACCAACCCAAGGTGGATTCTGCTGTGCTTGGGAACCATATGGGTCCCAGCACTGATTTGTCATCATCCATCAGTACTTGGGTTCAGTTTGAAGATGCGCCATGGACCAGTGCTCCATCGAACCATGCGCAAGCAGGTGAGGCAAATGCATGAAAAGGTCCCTTCCAGTAACATAACAGAATACACTGAGAGCCTACAGGATTTTTTTCCTTGTTCTTTCTTTTCTCAGAGGTTGAACTTTGACTAGTTTGTACTGAACTTTGGCACAGCTAATGTTACCAGGGTTTCAAAAAGGTCTCATAATTTTGTTCTGGGTTGAACTAGCAGTATTTTAATTTTGTAAAGAAAATGAAAGATTTCTGTGATTCATTCCACTTATGCCTTGACCCTGGAGAAATGCATTCATGGGGAAACAATATAGTAGTGTCTTCAGGAGTGACATTTCTTATGTACAGGTATGAACAGCCATCTTAAAAGTCTGAGCCATGTTTGCCTCTGTAATCTGGAACTGAGGGAATGGTGATCACTGTCCTTTGTACTCTTAGTCTTTATCTGCTCATATCCCTGTATGGTTTTTGCTGGAAGCTTAGTGAGACCAACAACTAGTGTGCCAGTGCCCATAAATACTTTCTGCTGTCTTTTGGTGCTGTGATTTAGCAGGTGGAGAATTGCAAAGGCAACCAAAGTTGACCGTAATTCCAGGACTGCGTGCACTTTTCAAATGTAAGAGTTTGTTCTGACACACTTCAAACGTGCATGCAAAGCCTCTGGCTTGCCTTCTCAGCTTATGCTAACTGATATGGCTATATAAGCTTCTAGCTTTCGTGTATGAACAAACTTCTGGCTCTCCATGCAGGAGGCTGTGGAGCAATTGCCCAAATAAACATTAGTTTACTTTCTCATGTTTAACTTGAGATTCTCTCTTAATTCCCTTTTGTTCCTGATATTTATTAAAGCAGTTTAAAAGAGTTACAGCTTTACTCTGATTACTGGGTCCATCAAATACTCCCTGTAATGTGAATAATGCTTCTATCAGAAAACTTGGATTGGCAACTTTGGGTTGGGTTTTGGGTAAAACCCAGTAGTTTTACATTTGCTCTTTTTATGGATGCTATAGACTAATCTGAGACAGTGGTTAGACTTTTGTGCAGGAGAGGTGGGTGAATCTTCAGGAAAAAAGAAGTTTCTGTTAAGTTTTGCTTAAGACCTTCCTATCTTTATTTGTTGGTTGTTGTTAGTTGTAAATGCTTACTGATCATGGTGGTGAGGAGAGAAGGAAGAGCACCAGTAAGTGTAAACCTGTAAAACTGAGGTGGTCTCCCTCCCTATTATTTAATTTCATGGTTAGATGATCCTTACCCCTACCCATGCAGCCACGTGCTTTTTCAAATGTAGCTGTTGGTTGCTCTGACACTGTGTTTCCTTCCTGATGTTGCAATATCCTTCTTGAATGGAAAACTCTAACATGCGCCTTCTTATTGAGCTTAAAAAAAAACCCAAATTCTTTGCTCAGCCTAAATAAAGCCATAACAAAGAGTCTTCCATAAAACTAATCTCATGGTGCGTTACTTGATTTCCCATCCTAACAGGGACACGGTCCAGGCTTAGGCTTAGGATATGTACTTGGCAAAAGCACTGCCTCTTGGTTTGTGTTTTCAGTCACAGGAGACACTAGGTTGTAGGCAGAGGTCTAGGATATCCAAAAGCGGTGATCAGAGAGTATTTTCCAAAAACATACTGGTTTTGAAGGTGGCACCCATTTGTGGTCCTGTAAAGTCTTGTCCCAAGTGATCCATGCCACTGGTGGGGGTACTTACACCCAAATGTTTAGCATCTGACTGAGATTCGTGGAGGAGGATGGTTCCCCTGGCAGTCACATCAGGAGGTACTCCATGTAATCCTTCTCCGGAAAGCTGTTATTCTTTAACTGTATAGAACCCCTAAGGAAGTGGCGTGGCTATTTTAAAATCCTTCTTTGTGAGCTAGTCCCACTCCTGTTCTGGACCCCGTATTATAAATGGCCTGAACACTGCACCTGACAGCCTCTAAAGGGAAGGTCATGGGGCAGAAGAGATCACAGGTGTTTGCTTCTGGCCCACTATTCTGAGCTCTGAGGGGCATTTGACAGCAAGAGGTAGGATAAACTTCAGCCTTCGGTTGTTCTCAATTAATCTGCAGGTCACGTCTTCTTCCTATGGGCGGCAGCAAAGCTGGAGACTTTGTGTTAGAACCGGGATATGCTGACAGGCCCAGTGGAAACCCTGTGGTGACAGCAATTACTCATTTCTAGTAGCAAACAGCCCACATAAGAACAATAGCAAATAGCCGGGTGGGGGGTGGGGAGTATAAAGGCCAAGTATGGACAGATGGATTGGTGTGAGAAGGATAGAGACGCTTGAAATCTGTTTCCTGTGCAGGCAGCTGTGAAGAGCAACATCGTGAAGGTTCAGCACCCCGAGCCACATTCCTGTCCCAGCTCCAGCACTGTTAGGAAGTTGTCTGTCTATCCATGCAGAAGCAGCTGCACAGCTGACTAGATAATTGCCCAGGCTGATGGCCAGGCTGCCTGGAAACGTACTTTGAGAAGGGCTTGTGATGTGGCATTTCCAGAGTGCCATGAGAGTAGGGAGGATGGGCCCTAGGAGGCAGAAATGCCGTCAGACCTTAGGGCTATGGAATTTTTACACATGTTCCCCTGGAAGCAATTTTTTATCCCAAAGTGCTCAGTCTGAAAAAAAAATAGTAGAATCATAGAATCATAGAATAGTTAGGGTTGGAAAGGAAGTTAAGATCATCTAGTTCCAACCCCCCTGCCGTGGGCAGGGACACCTTACGCTAAATCATATCACCCAAGGTCTCATCCAACCTGGTCTTGAACACTGCCACGGATGGAGCATTCACAGCCTCCCTGGGCAACCCATTCCAGAGCCTCACCACCCTAAAAGGAAAGAATTTCCTCCTTATATCCAATCTAAACTTCCCCTGTTTAAGTTTTAACCCGTTACCCCTTGTCCTGTCACTACAGTCCCTAATGAAGAGTCCCTCTCCAGCATCCCTGTAGGGCCCCTTCAGATACTGGAAGGCTGCTGTGAGGTCTCCATGCAGCCTTCTCTTCTCCAGGCTGAACAGCCCCAACTTTCTCAGCCTGTCTTCACACAGGAGGTGCTCCAGTCCCCTGATGATCCTCGTGGCCCTTCTCTGGACTTGTTCCAACTGTTCCATGTCCTTTTTATGTTGAGGACACCAGAACTGCACACAATACTCCAGGTGAGGTCTCACAAGAGCAGAGTAGAGGGGCAGGATCACCTCCTTCGACCTGCTGGTCATGCTCCTTTTGATGCAGCCCAGGATACGGTTGGCTTTCTGGGCTGCAAGCGCACACTGAAGCTGGCTCATGTTCATTTTCTCATCAACCAACACCCCCAAGTCCTTCTCCACAGGGCTGCTCTGAATCTCTTCTCTGCCCAACCTGTAGCTGTGCCTGGGATTGCTCCGACCCAGGTGTAATTTGCAGATAACTGCAATGTAGTGGTTATCATATAGGAAATACACTTAAAAGAAAACCAAGGCTGATGCTGGACCCTTGTTGTCCTGGGAAAAGTGAAGACAGAACTGGGGGAGCAGAAATTAGGGGGACTGATAGCAAGAAACAAGGTTGAAAACACAGGCAAAGAGTTTGGTAGGTGGGAAGAACAGTCAAAACCTGAGGTATAGAAATGAAAAGTGCCCATTGTGAGTTTCTTAGTGGAAATTATCTTTATTTAAGACACTGTTGTAAACCATTCTACTAGGTTCAGGCAGACTAAATGCTAGGCAAAATCTTTCTTTCAAAATATTTCTGCTGTTCAGGTTTATGCATAGACAACTCACAGTTGCCAAATCCACAGGGGGTAACAGTAACTCTTGGGCAAAGCCACAGAAATATTTACTTGCAGAAATGATGCATTCTTCCCCATTTTCCTTCTGCTGGGGAAAGTAAAAATTTGATTTTTCTCATGGTTACCATCAGGCTAGTCAAATTGATACTGCAAAAATGACAAATGAGAGTTTTAGGCTCACCCAAGTGCTTGCATCACAAACATGACACAATCTGTAAATGATCACAGCCAGCCAGTGACACGACATTTGCATTTGTTACACAATGGGCCTCCAGCTCTCGATTTTGTATTCTGCCAGTGTTAGCTCTGTGCTCTTGAATTCAATGAGGTATTCAGTAAAGGACCAAAACTAGAGCAAGGCAAGATCTGTTACATCATCTGATTCACACGCCACACACACACCACCCCCCACTTCTTCCAAGAGCTTTGTCTAGTTTTAAATGGCTCAAGTAACTTGGACTCCTACCATGTCCCTGGAGAGGCTGCCCCACACTAAGGCAAATCTCAATTTAACCATCTAGTGCTGTTCTGTATGCAAATAGGAAGTACATGCAACACAAGATCAGCTGCCTAAAACTAGACCAGATCTGATGCTGTCCTAAAATCAGAAAATCTGAGGTGCTATATGGTAGGAAAGGAATGGATGCTAACAAGGTTGATTGTAATACAGTGTAGGGATCAAGGAACGAGTCCTCAAAACATCAAAGAAGAATGAATGCTTACAGGTAAATCTGCATGCTAAAAGCCAATCCATCATATTAGGAACAAACATGTCAAGAAAATTAAAATGCACATAGAAGTAAACATTTCTTAGTTTGAAATGAATCAATGAGTTGATTTTTAGTATCCTATGCATGCTACAGGATTTGCATATTAGGGGAAGTTCTGGCACTGGTCTTTCATTGTAAACTGATTTCCAAGAAATTTCTGCAGCTGAAAGGCTGTGAATCTGCATCTGTTGACATTACAGACCAGATTCCAATTTTCTAGGAAAAAAAAAAAAAGTCCTACTTTATTTATGAGTTTGGTTTCAGTGCTTCCAGGAATTTGAAGAGCAGCAGGAGCATCTGAAGACGGACCTAAACATGTAGAAGTTTACTTTTGCTTGTCTTACTCTTTGAGATTGATAGATTGTTGTTTGGCTCAGCATAGGGGAAAATGCACTTTTACTAGTTCCAGAGGTTAGTGTTGGGGGAGCCTGGAACAGTCATAGGTGGAAGCTGACTATAGTAATATTTTAAAGAATATCTGTTGCAGAAAAGCTCTCTGTGGTTACAGTTTTCCAAAGTACAAGTCTCATTCTTTAGAAAGATCAAATAATCATATTCTTCCAAAGTGGCACAACTTATCTGGAATAACTTTAATTTTCCCTTATATAGAAATATTCTGCAACAGTATTACAGTTAGTCTCCCTCTTAGACAAAAATTGTTTTTGGAAAGCACATCAAGTTGACAGTATATGAGTTATTAAACCTTACATGTTTCTAAATTAGCTTATGTTTTTCATATTGCTGTGTCTGACTTTAAGAAATGCTAAAAATCTAAGTTTTTTTTTTATAAAATAATTCCACAATTTCCAGTGTACCATGTAGAAAACATAGTTAAAATCCCTGGCTCTTGCTATTGGTTTGCATGTGGAGCTCAGCTTTTCAGCTGGTCCTCTATGCCCAAATAAAGCACTGTGTCTGTCAAAGCAATTTCAGGTGAACTTTTAAGGATGACTTTCAGATGCCTCATGCTATGTTTAACAAAAGGCCTGAGAGTGGAACCAACAGATCATAATCATACACTTGCCACTGTTTCTCTACAGTCATCAAACACAACACAGTGTAGAATTACTGAAGGGAGAAGTGGGGGGTTTTGGTCATGTCACTAACACAACAACTGTCAACCTGTGTGGTAAGGAATCAGATCTCCTGACTTTCAGCTCCTCATCCTTAGGATGAGGATTCTACTTGGAAACAGCTCAGTACAGCTCACAGCTGTACAGATAAAATACATTAGTGCATGCTTACCTGAGAATCACAGTGCAGCTATATAAAATAAATTTGCACTTTTCAGCTGGTAAGGCAGGAAGCATTGTTTGGATATTCCCTCTGTGCATACAGCAAGGTTTCCATAGTGTCCCTTCACACCACTTGGAAGGAGTAGAGAGAGAGAGAGATAATCTTTAACGTTATTTTGCCATTCTCTTCCAAAGTATCTCTCAGAGTAATAAGGAATAAGGGTTGTTTATGTATTACATGCTGTGAAGAGAGCCTCTGTGTTAGTAGTAGTTCTGTAACTGCAAGATTTGGGTTGTGTTGAGATCTTTGTCGGTTTAAAAGCTAAGCATAGATGTATTAACTCAAAAAACAGTTATTATGCTGACACTGAATTAGGATTAGTCTCTACCAGCACCTTTTCTTAGTTCAGCAAGACTGTTTTTATCACATCTTAGAGTCACCCATTGTTATGAACATTTATGTGAGATTGTGGACAAAGAGTAGGCACTACAGAGAGTATACAACAGGAATTCATAGTAGTGGATGTATAAGACTGTGTTCTGAACTCTGGGTGATGGTTAGGCAGGACTTAAGTCTTTGACATGCAAATGTGGCTAGTACAACAGGATGTTTGGCCTACACTGAGCAGAAATGTTACGCAGTTAATTCAGATTGCAGCATTCCATCCTGCATGTTCAGAAACAAAAGCCATTTCTAGTGCCCATCAATAGGTCAATTTCAGTTTATTTTTATACTCTCCTCCCATGTGGAGCATTCCTGAGATGACAACTACATTTGAGTGGGTGTCACAGATAGGGAATGCTTAATAACATTATTTATAAAAAGCTGTGGTACTATAAAAACTCCACTGTGTTGCACAACACAGATATTCAGATCTTAGCAGCAGCAGAAACATGAAATCTTCTTGGTTTGAAAAGTCACAGCTTCTGCAGTAGTTGAACAACAGGAAAACGCACAGCAGCCAGCAGTATGGGATCTAAGGCAGACAGCCGAGTAGTGCCAGAGGGTTAACAGTGCAGGCACTAGTTAAGTTGCTATGTGTTTGTTATAAAATAACTGTTGCTGTGGATGTTGGAATTTATGTTTACAGAGTTTCGGTACACTGATATAGAGTGATCTTGGAAGATTGCCCTGTAAGTCTCTAACCAATACCTGTTTGTTTTCTGCAATCCAGTGTCTCCATCAAAAGCACCCAGCTGGACTTGCCCCTCCTCCAGCTCTTCTGAGAAGCAGGCACATGCCTCTGAGAGCAGCTGGACAACCAACTCTGAGGACACCAGCAGCCCAAGCATTGCTCCCTCCTACACAGATCTGCAGTCAGTTAACACTGAGGACTTGACCAGTGGAAGAACATCTGCAGCAGACTCAGCTGGTAAGAGAGAAGCCTTCAAGCTTCCATCTCAAATCTTTTTGGTGCTACTCAAGCTCAGTGCTTAGAAGTGAGCTATGGGGAATGGATCCGGAGCAGTACAAACTCCAGGATTAGGCAGACTAGCATTTTGTTCTAGTCCAATTCTCAAAAAAAAACACATACATGTCTGGATTTGACACACCCCATAGTATGTACAGGCACCCAAACAGCCAAGTGTAACTATGTACCTGTTGGTGGACTTGAGTAAAATGTTGGAGCACTTCTGTTTTTCCCATTCCACTTAAGCTGATCTAAGGCCTGGTTCTCAGTATTTTGTGGGAGAAGCTGGATGCCCTTCCTAAAATTCTATGCAGAAATTTTCTTAGCTTGCCAGTGTATACAGCTGAGGCGGGTCCACATGCCCCTCTCTTTCACAGAGTGCCAAGACATACATCCAGGCTGCTGGTTGCATTCTTTGCACTGTGCTTTGCACTGTTGCTATAAAGTAATTCAGAGACAGTGTAGGAGATGACAGAGGGTGGTTCAATAGTAGATTTAGATCATTTAAGGATCCTTTATCTGACCTTGTAGGGAACTATTCAGATGGCGTCCTGAATGTGGAAAAATGTGCTGCATGGCATTGTAGCTCATTGCTCCTCCGTTCTCCTCTGGATGAGGAGAAATAGAGTGGTGTAACCTGGGTCATGCAGCATTGGGATGACAGGAATTCCTGAATAACAAAACAAACTTTCACAGAGCATAGAAAGAGCTGGCATGTCAGGACACAAAAAGGATACAAATACACAGCTCCAGGAGGAAGCACCTGCAGTATGTTGGAAGCTGTTCACCCCAAGCTGAGGAAGGTCAGTAGCTACCCAGTTTGGTGATAAAAATTGATTCACTGGTGTCATGATAGCTCACACTTGAGGTATTTAATGTGTTTTCTCTTGGTGAATGTCACAGTATGTGTGGAATAAGATCTGTTTTGGGAGAATGGATTTCCTAAGTCCCACTGAGGTCACACATCCCTTCCATAAGAAACATATACATACATCATGTGAAAAGAGTATTATTTTATGGTTCAGTGAAACTGGGTTGGATGTCAAGGAAGGTTCATAAATAGCAACATGGGTAGGTACTGGCTGGGTGCTTAAGAGAAAGGATTTGTGGAGAAATAGTGTTTACTTTGGATAAGTAAAGGCCTTTCCTTCTTTGAATAATATTTACTACAGTCAGTCTGACCATTTTGATTTTAGAATGCTCTGTTTGTCTGTACCTCCAAGTTTGGAAAGCACCGGTAGAAAGAATAGGCAAGCTGTCATTGTGTGCCAGCTGTTTGGATGCCAGCGTGGGCATCAGTTCTGTTCTGATGAGCTCATGTCTATTAGGGTGAAAGGTAAGAATTTTCATTTGGAGCATGTGCCGGATATTGCTCTCTTGTTGATTTGTTATAAGTTGCCAAAAGGTGGATGTTGTCACTGGGGCTGTCTCCGTGTGAGCAAGGGAAATGAGGGATGCCCAGCTCATATGACTTTGAATCATATGGAGAGATGAGAGGCAAAAGTGCTGCTGTATATCGCTGACATACATACAGAATTATTTGCTATTTAGGGCCAAAAGATGATACTTAAATAGAAGCTTTGCGTGTAACCTTACTCCATTTTTATCCCAGTCAGTCACAAACTGTTAAATCAGCAAAGCAGGTAAAAAAAAAAAAAATTCCAATCACCTATAGATTTTCAAAAGTAAAAAAGGTAGGTAATATAGGCAAGATGGCTGTGTCATTAGCTAAAACATAAGATACACTACCTTAGTGCCTTAGTGGTATAGGAACCTGAAGTAAGAAATACACTGAGTCTTCCTACCGCCAGGTATGGAGTTTGCAAAAGGGAAGCATGAACAAAGCACGTATGTTTGCTCCTGTTCATGGGATGGCTCCCAGGCCACCCCTGGAGGTGCCTGCTGGCATCAGGCAAGGTTTGTGGAGGTGAAGGAGCTGAGGACCTGGTGGCAGTTCTGGCTGCTTTTTTGTTGTTCACCCACCCTCACAGGGTGTAAGTGGACAAAAATGCGTAATCGTGTTCTTCTTTCCTCTCCAGAAATTCAGTTATTTAAACCTGACTTGAATCAAGTACTTGATTTGCATTTTTTTTTCTCAAAACGCCCATTCTGGGAATCAAATTTCTCACAACTGACACAGAATACAAGTGTAAAACAATTTCATGGGCTTGAGCTTTATCTAGTGCATGTGTTTACGTAAGATATGACTTAGGAGGAGATACCTGAGAAAGATGGTAGGGGCCTGAATGATCCAAATCTAAGAGTTTATCCTCACTATGGGGGAGGGACTGCAGAAAGCCTCCCCAGTGGTGGGGTCAGTATAAGCTCAGTGATGTCTTGTAAAGGCAGCAGAGTTGGCAGTGGTGAAGGTAAATATTACACAAGCAGACCTGAGAAAGATTTGCTTTTCAAAGTGCAGCTAGAAGATGCTACACTTCTATTGCCTGTGCTGGTTTGAATTATGGCATCAAGAAGGAAGCCTTTTATATTATCTTTGTCATTGTCAGCATGGGGGGCTATTTTGGCCTGCAGCTGCTAGCCAATAAATTTGGGTCAAGTAGTAGCAGATTGCCCATTTAACATGAGCATATTTATATGGTTATAACAACAAGCACTTTACAGCAGCTGGGGTTTCACACTGTGTGTGAAGATATATTCGGTGCTGGTGAAGAGGCCCATTGCCTCAGAGCTTCCTATCATGCATGGCTGTGTTGCTCAGCTTGGGTCAATGAGCATGGAAAAGAAGCAGGAACTTTTGGCATTTGTGCTGTACTCTGCAAGTTAAGTAACACAGGACATCTCTGTTACTGATTACAAGTATTTATTCATTCTGAAGCAAATGCCTGTCAGCTTTCAAAAAAGGCCAAGTATCTACATGTCAGAGGAGTAAGGGAGAGGCGTTCTTGTAGCTGTGATTATAGCTCTGGAAGCACAGGGATCTGCTCTGAGGTTGTGCATAAATACCTCACAGCTTGATTTGGATTTCTGCATTTCAACATTCATTCTAAAATAATCTTATTTATCTAATTTTAATAGAATATATGAGCTATCTGTATTATATAACAATGCTCTGTGTGTTTGTATGTGTATCAAAAGCTGATTAACTTTGTAATTGTAAGTTCCCTGACAGCTATTTTAGGTGTGTTGTTGCTAGTTCTGTTGTTTCTGTTGTGATTTGTATCTTAGCAGAGCTGCAGCTACACCGTGTTTGATGCTGAGGGCTCAGTTTGCTGACCAGTTGTTCTGTTGGCATTCTTCTGAAGCTCTGGGACTACTGGGATACTGAGGAAAACATTTTGTTATTATTTTCTGAGAACATCTGCATTTTTGGAGATAGGAGGTTGCATGTGTGACCCCTAACTGCTCAAAATCCAGAAAGTTAATAAATAGCACAAGGAATGAATTCTGAGAATATTGTTGTTTTCAAAGTAAATCGCATGGTTTAAGGGGGTTCTGCTGCTTCTATTTTAAAACTTGGAGATTACAATTCTGGAAGGCTTGGCTCCAGCTATTTCTTGGAGGTAATGGAGGGCAAGTACTGATTTTCAAACTTTTTCCCAGTGCTTTTCTGCAGAAGTTCTCTTACAGATAGGGGTTTTTTTTCTGTCACTGTATCCAGCTACATACTGAGCCCTGTCTGATGACTACAAGAATGGTGTTCTGTAGGTTTCAAACAAGCAACTTTGAACAGATTATACAGCTGTGCAATGTATTTGCACTGAAGGCCAGAAACAAGCTGCATCTGAAGATATTCCATGTTAATTACCACAGCAAAGGGGAAAAGAGCATTCGCTGATGGTTGCCACCTTTCTCCCAGAACTGCACTCTGGTTATGCTGTGTAACTATTAACCAACTTGTTCTGGTCTCCCAGTCCCAGATACATGAAAACATTTGTATGTGTGAGCCTGCCAAAGGCAGCTGGAGAGACTTACAGAGGGGAGCATCAAACCCTTGCTTCAAGGAGCAGGAGACCCTAGAATACCATGAGCAAATAGCAGCTAACGTGTTCTTGCACAACTCCAACCTGGGAGGGCTAAATTCGACATCAGAGGCAGAGGGTTTTTTTTTCATCCTTATGTCCAGTATTAGCCACCAGCTAGCAATTCAGGAGTCTTATATCATAGTTGTTGTCCCATATTTTTCTAAAGACATTTCTAACTTCTTTGGGGTTAGTGCATCACTAGGGCAGAACTGGGAAGCTAGGTCTAGATAATTCATAGCAATAGAAAATTTTTGATCCCAACTCAGACCGGTGTACTGGAAATCAGCTGTTCTTTGACACTTCATGGCCACTCTGAGAAATCAGCAGTATCCCAGTGACCTCTGCAGCAGTGTTGAATCCTCATCCCTGTTTTGCAGTGGGGCAGCTTGGAGCTCAGTTGTGCAGGCTGGACCTACGTGAAGTGGAAATGGTCTTTGCTGTACAGTCTGTCAGTCTTGCCCTCTGAAGCAGCTGAAGACTGCAGGTATAAACCATGGACCAGAGTCACTGTCTCAGTCCCTCCTTATGGCAGGAAGAAAAGGCACAGAAAATCTGTCAGGAGGGGAGAAGTGTTAGAATGAGGGAATAGCAGGTACAATAATAAGCAAAAGGGTTTTTCGATCTATTTAGTACAGAGGATTACAAACTAAGCTTGGTTGGCAGTCATCTGATTCGTACACTTTAAGGTCAGAAACAAGGCCTATGATATCATTATTATCATCTGATCTGGCCTTCTGCATGTCTTGGGCCAAAGAACCTCACCCAGTCATTTCTGCACCAAACCCATAACTTCAGTTTGAGATATAGCATATCCTGAGCAAATATGTCCATAGTATTTTTCTGATTTAACATTAGCTGCAGCAAAATTTGCCCCTGTTCAGCAATCTCCAACCCTTTGAAACTTCAGTTTTGAAAAAGACTGTCCTAGTGATAATACTCAAAGCAGAATTGAGATATCACTGCCAGCTCTAGTGTGCT